TTTCTTTTCTTTTCTTTTTTTTTTTTTTGGACAGGCAGAGTGGACAGTGAGAGAGAAGAGACAGAGATAGAGAGAAAGGTCTTCCTTTTCCGTTGGTTCACCCTCCAATGGCCGCTGAGGCCGGCGCACCGTGCTGATCCGAAGGCAGGAGCCAGGTGCTTCTCCTGGTCTCCCATCCGGTGCAGGGCCCAAGTACTTGGGCCATCCTCCACTGCACTCCCTGACCACAGCAGAGAGCTGGCCTGGAAGAGGGGCAACCAGGACAGAATCCGGTGCCCCAACCGGGACTAGAACCCCGTGTGCCAGTGCTGCAGGCAGAGGATTAGCCTAGTGAGCCATGGCGCTGGTGAGATTTTAGAGTAATTTCAATAGAAAATGAAATGTGGCCTCCCAGCAAAATGCGTGTTGCCTCCTTGGCAAGAATGCCTGTGCTCAGGGCACCTGTGATGCAGCTCTAGAGCTTGTCGTCTTGTAATCAAGGCCCGATGCCCTGGAAGCTGGGCCCTTGCCTGGTACTTTCAGGATCCAATCTGTGGCCTTGAAGGTGCTTACTCCATTGGGGCTAACTGATTGACCCGTAGATGGGTGTCGTCTAGGAATACAGCTAAAGTTAAAAAATTTTTTTTGTTAGCAATCCTACAAATTTATGGGTTACCGTGTTAAAGTTTTTTGATTGTCAGCTTACATGGATGGCAGAGAGTGAGCTAGATTTGTGGGTGATTCAGGAAAGCTTCTTAGTGTACCCAGAGCCGAGGGTGCACTGGGGGGTGAGTTGGCGTGGCTCCCGGGGCTTTGTCCAGGCACTGTAGGCTGAGTGCCTGTGGTCCCTTGTCCATCCTGTTGTGAAGTCATGAAAGGGCCTGTAGCTGGAGGCAGTGGAAGCAAGGAAGGGCTGTCAACGTATTAAACGCATTGATCAGGGCAAAAATAGTCTGTAATTGTTGTAGAAACTTCTAAAAACACTGAAAAGCAAAAGGGAGGAAGAATAATTGCCCTTACCTCTACCTCGCGTTGTCCCGTCTCCTTACGACAGTTTCCTCTGGAGGGGTAGTGCGTGTACCCGCGTGCAGAACACGCACACACAGACAGACACCAACAGGTTTTCTGTGTTGAACTGAAAGCAACAGGATTCCCTTGTTCTATTCCCTGTTTTTCTCGCTTAGCGATCGTTGTGAATCCTTGAGCATAATTAACACAAATCTCTTGTCATGCGGTATTGGCTGAGGATGCTCCTGTGGGTTTTTGTTGTTGGCCTCTCTGCAGGCTGTTTGCTTCCACACTTTGTGTGCAGGTAATGCCGTGGCAGATACCCCTGTACATGTGCCCTTGTGCAGTTGCTCAAACATTGCTGTAGGAAAGGCTCCCTAGAATGAGTCCATTGGACCAAAGGAAGCTTAGGACACAGATGGCCCAGTGCTCTTTTGAAAGGGCTGGGCCAGGCCTGCGGTGACCTGTGTCCTTGACCCCCTGCCCTTGCCCACACTGCCCATCTGAGAGCTGAGAGATGCTGTCTTTCCATGTTAACTTCTTGAATAACTGGTGGGGTTGGCCGTGTTGCCACGTGTTTGATGGTCATTGTGTGCTTCTCCTTCAGCTGTTTGTTCATTCCCTTTGTTCATCTTTTTTGGTTACTTTTATGGAACTTATTTATCAGAAGTTTGTTTATGCAAGTAATGTGGGTCTACATATTTGTGCATGAGAGGAAACATCAAGCCCACACCCTTCACCACGCTCATTCTCCCTTCTTGATGGGATCATTCATTGAGACTTTGAGGTAAATCATTTTGTATGCATTTCTATACATAGAGGTGGCTTTAGGTATTAAGGTGTGTGGTTTTTTTTTTTTTTTTTTTTTTTTTTTTTTAATAAGAATGGATCCTATTCAATGTGGTGTTCTCTGATTTGCTGCTTACCCCAGCTGCATGCATCTTGGAAAACATCTTAGGTAACCTTATACGTCTCTTGCTCTCTTTTTGAATGGTTGCGTGGTTTTTCTGGGCAGCTTTATTGAGATGAGATTTACATACCGTGAGTCACCCATTTACAGTGGACAGTTCAGTGGTTTTTGGTCTATTCACAGGATCGCTCAACCACCTCACAGTCAATTTTAGAACATTTTCATCGTCTCAAAAAGAAACACAGTACCTCTTAGCTCTCAGCTTCTTGCCATCCCCCGCCCCCAGCCCCAGGCAACCACTGATCCACTTGCTGTCTCTATGAATTTGCGTATTCTGGACAGTTTATGTAAATGGAGACATAATGTACATGTCTCCATGTTCATGTCTGCCTTCTTTCACTTAGTGTAATGTTTTCAGAGTTCTGTGTTGAGGCATGCTGCAGTGTTTCCTTTCCTTTCCTGGGCCACTACTATTCCATCGTGTCTAGTAGGGTGCACTTTGTTGATGGACATGTGGGTTGATTGTACTTTTTGGCAAGAATGAACAATGCTGCAATGAACATTTGTGCACAATTGTTTGAGGATCTGTTTTTGGTTCTTTTGGGTATATACATAGGAGTGTATGGGTGAGTCATGTTGCAGTCTATGTTTAACCTTTATTTATTTATTTGAAAGGTGGAGGCAGAGAGAGCGAGCTAGCGAGAGCGCTCTCACCTGCTGGTTCATTCCCCAAACGCTCCCCGTGGCCAGGACCGGGCTGTGGGGAAAGCCAGGAGCAGGGGACTCAACCCAGGCCTCCGACTTGGGCTATCACTGCCTCCTCCCGGAGTCTGCATTAGCAGGGCCCTGGCGTTGGCATGCTGGATGCTGGCCCCACATACTCCCATGTGGTATGTGACCGTTCTAAATGCCTGCCCCTATGTTTAACTTTTTGCGGAGCTGCCAAATTGTTTTCCACAGCAGCTGCACTGTTTTACATTCCTACCAGCAATATGTGAGGCCTTCAACTTCTCCACGTCCTTGCCAATACTTGCTGTTTTCTGTTTTTTGATTATAGCTGTCGTTGGGGTATGAATGGTATCTCGTTGTGGTTTTGATTTGCATTTCCTGATGGTGAATGATGTTGAGTGTATTTTTATGTGCTCATTGTACATTTGTATATCTTCTTTGGGGAAATGTATGTTCAGTTAATTTGCTCATTGTTTTTTTTAAAGATTTATTTATTTATTTGAAAGGCAGATTTACACACACACACACACACACACACACACACACAGAGAGAGAGAGAGAGAGAAGTCTTCCATCCACTGCTTCACTCTCCAAGTGGCCGCAACGGCCAGAGCTGTGCCAATCTGAAGCTAGGAGCCAGGAGCTTCTTCCAGGTCTTCCACATGGGTGCAGGGGTCCAAGCACATGGGCCATCTTCTACTGCTTTCCCAGGCCACAGCTGAGAGCTGGATCGGAAGTGGAGCGACTGGAACTCGGACCGGCACCCATATGGGATGCCGGCACTGCAGGTGGAAGCCTCACCTGCTATAGCACAGTGATGGCCCCATTTGCTCATTTTAAAACTGACCTTTTTGTTTTTTACATTTAAGTTCTTTATCAGATATATGGGTTGCAAATATTTCCTCCTAGTGTGTGGTCTGTCTTCACTTTCTTGACAGTGAGAAGTTAGTGTTAATTCTTTTAATGTTTGGTAGAACTTACAAATGAAGCCATCTTGTAGTTCTTTGATCACTAATTCAGTCTCTTTATACATTATATGTCTTTTTAGATTTTGTATTTCTTTCTGAGTAGTTTTGGTAGGTTTGTGGTTTTCTAGGAATCTGTCCATTTCATCTAAAAATTTGGTTTATGTACACCCAGATGTTTATAGTATTTGTGTTTGAGTCTGTGAATGCTACTTAATCTAACCGATTTCCCATAGACTAACATTTAAGTCGTGTCCATTTTTACTGTCGCTAACAGTGCAGCCGTGAACGTTTGAGAGTGTCTGTCTTTGAGCACACGTGTGAGTGTGTCAGTGAGGATTTCTAGGAGTGCAATTGCTGGGTCTGAGGTCTGTGTGTTTAAGGGGTTCATTGTTCTGCCCCATGTTGTCTTCCTGTTCGCTTCTCTGTCCTTGCTGATTTGTGGGGCTCCTTACATCTGATAGTCTCCGCCTCCTGGAGTCAGCAAGAGTGCACAGTGCTGATGGCGTGTCTGTGCCCAGAGCAGGTGGGAAGGGCAGGTTTGGGACCTGGGTGTTAGGTGGCTGCTTCTGGGGGGCTTGGGGGGATTGGATGTGGAATCCCCAAGTCCACTCCTGTACATTCACCGTGGGGTTTCCAGACCCTACCACGTAGGTGGCAGGAATCCAGCTACTTGAGCCATCGCCTGCTGCCTCCCAGGGTACACATGAGCAGGAAGCTGGAGTCCAGAGCTGGATCCAGGATTGAACCCAGGTCCTCTGGTATGGGACATGGCCATCCCAGCTGGTGTCTGAGCCACTAGGCCAACCGCCCAGCCCCAGCTTGAGGTTTTTAAAATAATCCATCCAGGCCCTGGAGGCTCACTCAGAGGTGTTCAGGCTGCACAAGCTCTAGGGTCCCAGAGGCTGCCTGGGGGCTGGGTGGGGAGGGACGGGTGCGTGCAGCCCAGCGGTGGTGGTGGTGATGGTGGTGGTGGTGGTGGGTTGGCTCTGCCCTCCCTGGCTGTGTGCATCGGATTCAGAGTGCAGTTTCCAAGGAGGAGACAGAGTGCTGTGTGTCTATAGCAGTTGACACTGCCTGGGTTGGTCATCTTGGCTCTTGTGGGGGTAAAAACACAAATACGAATCCGGCTGGAGGCCTTTGGGGGGACCTGACTTCCCCACTCCCCCACCCCCCCTCCACAGAGCCACTTGCCTGCCCACGCTGTTTTATTCTTGCTTCTGTCTGTGGGGTGTTGTGGCCCTGCAGCCCAGCAGAGGCAAAATCAAATGATCTTTCTTTGTCCAAATGAATGTAGTCCCCAGGGAAACCCGGCTCAGCTTCCAGACAGTCGGGGGGAGGGGGAGGGAGGCCCAGGGACCTCCTGGCTGACGCCCATCTCTCTCCCCACCCTGCTTTGTGTCTTTCAGTCCGCTGAGTTCTTCGAGATGCTGGAGAAAATGCAGGTGAGCACCTCCACGGGTGGGAGCAGCCACAGCCCTGGGGCGAGTGTGTAGGAACCCTGCGGCTCTCAAAGGCCAGCCCAGGTCTGGGAGGGGCCCGGGGCTGGGCAACCTGAGGCCATGGCACTGTTGAGCCACACAGAGCACTTGGGGAAGGCTCCTGCCTGGAAAACCAGAAAGATCCAAAGCAGAATCTCCCCAGCAGAGTAGCCAGGATGCCAGATACCCCATGGATGTGGGAGCCTTGCAAAGGGTCTCTTGTTCCTGGAGGAGGGAGGAAAGAAAGCCTGGGAAAGCCCCTTCTTGGGGCTGGCACGTTGTATCCAGGCAGCAGAGCAGCAGGGTGGGAGGCTGGTCCAAGTTCAAGTCCTGCATTGAACACTACACGTTCCCTAATACTCCAAGCTGCTAAATAGATCAAAGGACAATACCATTGACAGGATGCTTGGAAAGGAACGAGAGCATGTGTGTCAGTACTTGGTAGCCCTGCAGAGAAGTCGGTGTGCAGTGTGGATCTGGGGACTTGGGGTCCTCTATAATTACACTTGACTTCTCCCAAATCTGGGTTCTGCACCTGCAGATCCAACCAACCACAGATGGAAAATACTTGGGGGACAGGGGGATTGCATCTGTGCCGGATGTATGCAGACTTTATTTCCTGAACAATACACTGTAACAACTATTTACCCAGCATTTACATTCTACTGTGGGTATCATACTGTGCCCTTTTATGTAAGGATCTCAAGCATCCCAGGAGCAAATGCCCATGCGTACCGAGGGGCAGGGCTCACAGGTTAGAGCTGTGGCACCTGTGCAGGGGTCCAGAAAGTCCAGTGGATATGGTGGAAGGAGTAGGAGCAAGTTCCTAGGCAACGTGTGTTACGTGGCACGGACTGCCCATGGTGTCGCTGCCGGAATGGCCCCAGCCGCAGGTGCTCAGCGGTTCTCGAGGTGGCACCTTCCATCCTCCCCAGCCTTAGTGAGCCTTTATCTTTTTGCACTGAAAGGAGCTTATCATTTAATTCCGTTTTCCCATGGGCTTGTTGAAGTTCCCTTGTCTTTCCAGCACTTCCCTTGGCTCAGAGATTGGCAGGTCTTATTTTTTCCCTTGGAAGTAAGGATATTATTGTTATCAGCTCCATTTCACAGGTGAGAACACTGAGGCACAGAGCTAGGAAACAGGAGCAGTCAAGGGTGAATGGATAGTTGCTTCAGGACCGGAGGCCATGGCCATGGTGCTGGGATATTTTTATCTCAAGTGGCTGCTCTGGGCTCAGGGTTGGGAGATCCCATAATAATCTTCTGGAAGCTGTGGGGGAGGGGCAGTGCTGACACAGGGGTGGGGGATGGGGGAGAAGCTGCGGGGGGGGGGTGTCTCCTGAGGAAGGGGGAGGGGCTGTGTCAGGTACAGATGTTAGCGGTGATGGTGTCATTGCCACAAGCCAGGCATCCAGTGCCGCCTCCTGCTCAGTGGTGTGTGGACTGTAGTGCGTCCTATAAACATTTAGGAACTTAGGATCGCGTTGCTGGACCGAGGCTGGCAGGTGCCCCGGCTGCCGCGTATCATTAAGTGCTCAGCTTCTTGGCGCAAAGCCGAGACTTTCATCCCCGGCCAATGGGATTCCAGCCGTCTGGGCAGCTGGCACGGGCTTTGCAGCTCACCCTGCCTTCTCTCCCAGCCGCCTTCACCCCCAGCTGGTGCCCCCTGCCTCCCCCAAGGCCTCCGGGTGTGAGTGCATAACTGAGCCCTGCATAGCCGTGACTGGCCTGGCCTCCGGCCTCTCCTGGTCCACTGTTTTGGGTCTGTAGGGGTTGCTGTCACCCCTCCATGGCAGCTCCCTGGGGCTAGGCTCTTGTTTTCATTCCTCGGTGGTGGCCGACTCCCGCCTGTGTGGTTTGCCGGTGTCCCCTCTCTGTGCCCACAGGGTGCTGGCCCTGGAGAGCTCACAGCTCCTCACGGTGGGGTCCTGCGGAGAGGAAGGGCCTGCTGTGTGGTCAGATTCTGTCTTGCCTCATCTCGTGGTTATGGGAATTGAGTCTCAGGGCAATGAAATGCCTGGGAGACTCCAGATGGCCAGGCCAGGAGTCTGGGAAGTGGAAGAAGGGCACAATCCCTAGGGAGCAGGGGGGCTGAGGGTCCCTGCTGACCTGGGTTCAAGGCCACCGAGTCCTTCCAGCTGAGCATCGTTGTTCAAGTCACTCTCCCTCTCTGAGCCTCAGCGTCTTCATCAGGGAGAGAAGGGGGAAATGATGGTAACACCTGCTCAGAGGCTCCCCTGCGGGAGGGGCAAGAGGATGAGCCAGTGGCTGGGGGTGGGGTGGGGTGGGATGGGATGAAGTTTACCCTCCTGCCCCAGAGGCTGTTCCCAGGCTGGGGTGACTCATGCAGGACACAGAAAACAAACTCCTGACATCACCCTTCCCCACCCACCTGCTTGGCCTACCTGGACAGAGTCTGCTGGCCACCCAGGCATTTTTCCCCTGGGTGTGAGAGGAGCATCTGTTGTGGGGGAGGGGCCCTCCCACGCCCAACACTTCCCCCCACCCCGGGCAGCGCTGCAGGGTAGCTCAGCCCAGGGAGTCCTGAGAAGCTGCATCCAGACTGCCCTGTCAGCTGGAGCCCTGGGTTTCTGGTAGCTTGGGGACGGTCACGCACACGCTGGGCAGGTGACCTGTCTTCCAACCCAGGCCCTGCCACCCCCTTGCTGCGCGACCAAGGCCCATCTTACAGATGAGAACATTGCTTCACAGGGTTTTGACTTGCCCAAGACCACAGGGCTAGTAAGCGGCGGTGCTGGGGACGTCGGCCCCTGTGCTGTGACTCAGGTTCATGCTGCTAACACGCCCAGCTGCCTGGCTGCCTTGCCTGGGGCTGCATGGGGACTGGTGGCAGCAAGGTGTGGCCTGGGTGGCGCCAGCACGCACCAGCTGTTGTTTCTGCAGTCATTCCTGAGCCCGCAGGGCCCGGTGTGCACAGCGTTCCTCTGCGGGCCTTTTATGGTCCTTGCTTTCCCATGGGGGGATGGGGGAGAAGCTGCAGGGAGGTCTCCTGAGGAAGGGGGAGGGGCTGTGTCAGGCACAGATGTCAGCAGTGATGGTGTCATTGCCATGGTCCTCTTTTCCGTGTTTCCACAGGGGATCAAGCTTGAAGAGCAGAAGCCGGGACCCCAGAAGAACAAGGTGGGCTGGCTTGGCTGGGTGCTGGCGAGGGGAAGGCAGGAGGGGCTGCCAGCATGCTGGGGTCTTCTTTATTAAGGTCATCTTTTGTTTTTCTTTTTAAAAATTTATTCATTTGAGTGGTAGATGGACAAGTAGGTAAACAGGGAGACATAGAATGCGAGAGTGTGGGCCAGGGAGCGCTGCCATCTACTGGTTCACTCCTGAAATGCCCACAGTGGCCAGGGCTAGGCCAGACTAAAGCCAGGAGCTGGGAACATGGGGTCTCCCATGTGAGCGGCAGGGATGCAACTAATTGAGCCATCGCCTGCTACCTTTCAGGGTCTGCATTAGCAGGAAGCTGGAGTCAGGAACTGAGGCCAGGGATTGCACCCAGGTCCTCCCATTTGGGACATGGGTACCCTAACCATTAGGCTAAACACCCATCCCTAACTTATTTCTTACCAAGAGCCCTGAAGTGACTGTGCCTTAGGAGGCCCTGGCTTGATGCAGTTCAGGCTGCCTCTGAGCAGGCCTGTCAGGTGAGACCCACGGCTTCGTGGCTGGGCCTGGGTCCTCCCCACCCGCCCTATGCATGTGTCGCTCCCCCTCTTCGCGGAGGAGCAACACAGGACCCTGCCTAGGCTTCATATCCGAGTCACGGCACCATTATGTCGCTCCCCCTCTTCGTGGAGGAACGACACAGGACCCTGCGCTGTTCTTTCGTCTGCTCGGCCCTCCCCGGGTTTGCTGCTGGTTCTTCCCAGGTTGGCTACTATCCCTTCCACCTCCGTGGAAGGGCGGTTCCCCCTGGCCGCATTCCCCACTTCCGCAGGGGAGCGGCACACCGCCGGCCGGCTCTCTCGGGGGCTGCACGGGTGTTCCTTCAGCTAGATGTTCCCCATAGATGTTCCTGGTGCATGCCGTCTCTCTCCTCCTTTATAGTCCTCCTCCGCCAATCCCAACTCGGCTGCCCACACGCCGAGTACGCTGCTCTCCAATCAGGAGCAAGTCCTACAGTTAATTGGTTGAACTGGAGGCAGCTGTGCGGAAGCTGTTTACTTCTCTCCCAGCGCCATATTGTGGGAGAGCAGATGCATAGAATAAGTCTTAATTCGAGTAACTTAGTCCAGTCCGGTTTGCTCCCCACAGCATGGACCTGACCTGTGTCTGGGGGTCAGGCTGTGTCACAGTGGGAAGTCGGCTCTCAGCTTCAGGTTCCACTCCCCGGGTCAGTCATGAGGAGGTCAGGGTGCTGGGTGAGACGGGGTCATCTCCCAGGTTTAGCCTCGTGGGGTGAGGACACTCAGCACCTTTGTATGCTACTTCTCCAGCCATTCAGGTGCTGCCAGTTTGGAGGAGAGCTCAGTGGACATCAGGTCCCGGAGCTGCCTCTAGGCTGTTCTTCCATCTGATGTGTGTCCTCCAAAGCTCTCGTGCATCCTGCCAGGCTGACCCAGTGTTCAGACGTGGGTGCTGCTGGTACTCATGGGGGTGTCGTCTGGTTTGTCTTGCAGGATGACTATATCCCGTACCCGAGCATTGACGAGGTAGGAGCCCCTGCTCTGGCTACGCTGCCGTCTGCTGTGGGTCCTGTCCCTGGGGAGCTGATGGTGACCATGGTGATGGGCCCTGTCCAGCCCCACATGGGGGACAATGCTGGATCCGCTCTCGGGGGCCTGAGGCCTCTTCTTGTCTTTGTTTTCGTGACCTCAGCTTTTCCATGTTGGAATGGGGGGTGTCCATCCACCTTGGGGCTACAAGATTTTCCACAGAGATGCTGTGGAACCTAGAGGAAGAGTTCATGTCCCTGCCTTTGGCCTCAGGAACCCAGCTCCTTGGGTGGGGACCGCACGGCTGGCCTCCAGCTGCAGGCAGCACCCTCCCTGTGCCTCCAGGTTGTGGAGAAGGGAGGCCCGTACCCGCTCATCATCCTGCCCCAGTTCGGGGGCTACTGGATTGAGGACCCGGAGAACGTGGGCACCCCAACGTCCCTGGGCAGCAGCACCTGCGAAGAGGACGAGGAGGACGGCCTCAGCCCCAACACATTCGGCTACAAGCTGGAGTGCAAGGGTGAAGCCAGAGCCTACCGCAGGCACTTCCTGGGGAAGGTGAGGGCCAGGGCCCGGGGAGCAGAGGGCTGCAGGGGGTGTGGGGGGGTGGGTGGAGGTGCCCGGAGGGCCCGACTCTCTCCTTTCCTTCCTGTTCTGCCCCCTTGGGTGCTGGCTGCCTCTGTCCTAGTTTTGGGGGTCTATCTGGGGGCAGGGCCAGGGGAGCAGTGTGGAAACAGGAGGCCTGGTGGGATGGATTCCCATGGAGAGCACCCCTGCCCCCAGCCAGTGCTATGGGAGGTGGTGTTTGTGGTGAACAGTATGGCGTGGCATTTTAACGGCTCAAGGAAAATCCGTCCTCACACACTGGAGGTGTGGCAGGTCCCTGCGTCCTCAGCCCAGATGGCATGCTGTGAGCCCTTGATTGCTGAAAAGTGACAGTTACATTCCTTTAAAAGTGTTCTGCCTGTCAGACTTGCCAGGTTCCAGGAGTCCCGAGGGCTCATTCTGGAATTCTGTAGCCTAACACAGCTCTGCACAGTCTCCTAAGGAGAAGGCATCATGCAAAGACTTGGGGATCTTGCTGAAATGCAGATTCCCACACTGCTGCCACAGGTCTGGGGTGGGCTCCAGGAGGCTGCATTTTTACTCTTTTTTTTTTTTTTTAAAGATTTATTTATTTATTTGAAAGAGTTACAGAGAGAGAGAGAGAGAGAGAGAGAGAATCTTTCATCTGCTGGCTCACTCCCCAAATGGCCACAACAGCCAGAGCTGCACCGATCCGAAGCTAGGAGCTAGGAGCTTCTTCTGGGTCTCCCATGTGGGTGTAGGGGCCCAAACACTTGAGTCATCCTTTACTGCTTTCCCAGGCCATAGCAGAGAGTTAGATCAGAAGTGGAGTAGCCAGGACTCGAACTGGAGCCCACATGGGATGCTTGTACTGCAGGCAGTGGCTTTACCTGATACGCCAGAGCACGGCCCCATTTTTGACTCTTGTTCCCTGAGCCAGGGCTCAGCACCCCCGGTGCAGAGTTCCTGTCACTGCCCTTCAGTGGAGGTACCACTGGACTCCCATAAGTATTTGAAGTGGTCAGGGCTGCTTCCTGGGGGCAGGAGGATGAACTCAGACTTGGGTCTGAGCCCTGGAGCTGTCACTTGCTGGTTGTGTGGCCCCGGGCAGTGCTGGTTTCCCCTCTGGGCGTGAGGGTGTTATGGTGGGAGCATGAAGTAGTGGTCAGGATGAACGGCGGGAATGGTCTTAAGCCCCTAGCGCTATGCTCAGCATGTCCTGAGGCCTTGGAGGTTGGGACCTGTTAGTGGGATCACCATCGCCAGCAGTTGCATGGCTAGCGTCTTCCCCTCTTTCCTGTTGCTTGGAGCTTCTCACTTCTGGTGAGGGAGGTGGTTGGGGGCATGTCTGGAGGGTCTCCTCCTCCCCACTCACCCCTGATTTCTGTTTCCAGGATCACCTGAACTTCTACTGCACAGGCAGCAGCCTGGGGAACTTGATCCTGTCCATCAAGTGCGAGGAGGCGGAGGGGATTGAGTACCTTCGGATCATTCTCAGGTAGGGCTGTGGTACTAGTCGAGGCCACGCCTCTTCCAGGTGGGGCTGCTGAGGCCAGAGTTGGGGGGAGGGCGGCAGAAGTACCAGTCTGGCCAGTGTGGTCTGGGTGTCTTTGGGGAGCAGACCTGCCATAACCCTGCGGCTATGTCTGATGAGGCCAGGCTGGGAGAACCAGCTGTGGCTGCCAGCTCGCTGAGGGTGGTAAGCACAGTGGCAGCTTGATCTCAAGGTCACCTGGATCAGACCCCGCCTCCCTCCAGATCAGGACCCCGCCTCCCTCTAGATCAGACCCCACCTCCCTCCAGATCAGGACCCCCCCTTCCTCTGGATCGGACCCCACCTCCCTCCAGATCAGGACCCCGCCTCCCTCTAGATCAGACCCAACCTTCCTCTAGATCAGACCCTACCTTCCGCTCTTTCTTGCAAGACACAGCAGCTCTGAGAAGGAGAGAGAAAGCAAAGTGGGCTCGGTATGGCTCATGAGGCTGAAACATGATGCTAGGTCCTGGGAAAAAATTTTCCAAAATGCGCAGCCTATGGCATTCATACAGCCAGAAATGGTGGAGCCCCAAGTGTCTGTCAAGTGTGCCAGGTCCCCTGGGACAGGGTGAGGGTCACGGTGGGGGTTCTGATCTACAGCTGAAGCTAGGCCACTTCTTCCTGTTTTGTGACCTCCTCAATGGCAGGGACTCAAACTGGTTTCTGTTTGGTTCGACTCTCATTTTTGCAAAACTTTCTTTGTACTGGGAACTGTGTTAGGGGCTGGAGGTAGCATGGTGGCTGAAAACTCCACCCTTGTTCCCTGAGGCATATGCTCTAGTGAGAGAGAAGAACAGAGAATTCTAAACTGTGTCACAGGTGTTATTTTAGCGATAGGCACAGGTGCAGGGGGAGCACAAAGGAGTTTGTGTCTGGTTTATCTCTGACCCTGGTGCTGGAGAAGGCAGGAAGGTCAAGTCCGGTGCTTTGCCGGGCACTGCCAACCTGTGCAGCTCTCAGTCTACGCTTGCTGAGTCTCATTAGAACTTCTTGAAGGTATTTGGAGAAGAGCAATGCATTTTTCTTGGTCTAAGTTTTGAGATAAATATGAGAGGGAGCAAAGTCACAGTGCCCAGCTTCAGGAGAGGTTGTGGGGGGAGGTTGGCTGGAGCAAGTTGTCATCACCCATCCAATCTTGGTTTGCTTCTTATTAAGAAAGGAAGCAATTTTCTTTACAGTGGTTTGCCTGGACAGAAATCATATTTGCAAGGCATGGAAGAGTCAATTAAGTAGCTGGAGCCAATTTTCCCAGGAGGTAATACTTAGATTCCCATCTCCAAATAGGATTTTCTAGCGAGGTGAACCTCTGCAAAGAAAATTGCTTTCTTTCCTAATAACCATCAGACTGTGATTGGGTGGGATTTCTGAGCACAAGGATTGGAGTCGCTTTCTCCTAATACTGTGTCCTATTTGAAATGTTGCATCGGAGCAGGTGCTGGGCCCACGGCACACACTGATCTTCTCTGGGGGGATAATCTGCGAGGCCGGGAGGACTACAATGCAGGTGATATTGAGACTTGAATTCCAGTTCCTCTTAGAAAGCAAGGCAGTGTGGGAATACGTGAGACTGGAGTGTCTGGAAGAATCGATGCTCTGTAGGAGTGAGAGTGAGCCCTAGAGTGGTCAGAGGGCTTTCCGTCTAGAACCACTTTGTTGTTTTGGGTCAACAGCATTGGAAATCCATTCCCCAGGGAGCCCAAGGGCACTCTGAACTGTGGCTGTCCCAGTGAGAGCCAGCGGGTAGGTGGCAGAGGGGAGCCGTGCACCAGCCGGGAAGCTGGACAGTCACATCTTGTGCTCAGAGCAGCTGCCAGGCCACACTGGACGCCAGGCATGAAAAGCTGGCTCCCTGGCTTACTTAGCAGCTTGACCGGACACAAAGAAGGAATTATCCAGAGATGAAGTTCCTCTGCTGGCAGTGACCACTGGCCCGGCTTCTTCCTCATTCCCCAGGGGCTTCTGGGCTATTTAAGTGATGTCACACATTTCTAACAAGTAGCTCTCAGCCTAAAATCTGAGAAGAGCATTCTAGCACCCTCTGTGTGGGCCATGGGAGCTGCCAAGAAGAACTTACCCACAAATAACACGTCTATGTAGGTATCTCCTTTTTAAAAGGTTGGATACAAAGAAGAAAATAAATAAAAAGCTCTTGTGTCTGTAGAAGAAAAATTCCACATCTAAAAAACCATAAACTAGGTAGAAAAAAACCCAGAGTTTCGAAAAGGATTTACTATAGAAATCTAGGTAAAATTGAGATATTCACCAACCTTGTAGTTTTTTTTTTTCTTGCTAAAGACTTACTTTATTTATTTGAAAGAGTTACAAAGAGATATGGAGAGTCACAGAGAGAGACAGAGGGAGGGAGGGAGAGAGAGAGACAGAGAGAGGGAGAGAGAGAGAGGAGAATCAGTCTTCCCTCTACTGATTCATTCCCCAAATTGACTGCAACAGTTGGAGCTGAGCCAGGTTGAAACAGGAGCCTGGAACATCATCTGGGACTCTCATGTAGGTGGCAGGGGCCCAAGTGCTTGGGCCATCTTCTGCTGCTTTCCCAGGCACATTAGCAGGGAGCTGATTGGAAGTGGAGCAGCTGGGACTTGAACTGGTGCTCCAGTGGGATGTCAGCGTATCACAGGCAGCGGCTTAACCCTCTGTCTCACTATGCTGGCCCCTAACTTTGTACTTTTTTACAGAAAAACTAAACTAGAAAAACTAAGCACTATAGAAGAAAAGACGAAGGCAAAATAAGAAAACTAAAGATGTATAAAAGAGTTTGAATGGTATGAGAAGCAGTAAGGAGTTAGTCATATGGAGAATACGCTGAAGGGCTCGCAGCATTCAGAGGAAAACACAGCTTGACATGATGAGCGAGATGATGAAATGTGGAGGTAGTGGCAGGAATCAGGCACGTGGATGGCTGAGGTTCTCAGGCTCCCTGAAGACCTAAATCTGCTGATCAAAATGATTGACGCAGTGATGGACGGGATCAGGGAGAGGAAACCGACAGCTGGACACATTTGATGAAAACTTAGTAGTTCATAGATGGATATCTGGTAGAATGTAGGTATTCCAAATAGTAAAGGAAGACAGCCCTCCCGCACACATATAGAAAAAGAAAGTAAAGGAATCATAGCTAGATCAACGTGATAGAAGTAAGTATAAGTAAATATGTAACGATAATAAATGTAATGAGTCAAATTCTATTATTAAATAGCGAATATTCCATGTGGGGTTATTCTTCAACCTCCCCCACTATCTATTTATATTTTGTTAAAGGAGTAACTCAGAATACTTAAGTGTTGAGAAAAAGTTATAGGCCGGCGCCGCGGCTCACTAGGCTAATCCTCTGCCTTGCGGCGCCGGCACACCGGGTTCTAGTCCCGGTCGGGGCGCTGGATTCTGTCCCGGTTGCCCCTCTTCCAGGCCAGCTCTCTGCTGTGGCCCGGGAAGGCAGTGGAGGATGGCCCAAGTGCTTGGGCCCTGCACCCCATGGGAGACCAGGAGAAGCACCTGGCTCCTGCCTTCGGATCAGCATGGTGTGCCGGCCGCGGCGGCCATTGGAGAGTGACCCAACGGCAAAGGAAGACCTTTCTCTCTGTCTCTCTGTCTCTCTCTCTCACTGTCCACTCTGCCTGTCAAAAATTAAAAAAAAAAATTGAGAAAAAGTTATAGCAATCGAATGGGAAAATAAAGGAGGCTTGGTAATATTAACATAGAAAGTAGAAGTTAAGGCAATAAAGCAATTATTGTGATAAAGAGAGCTTGTGTCCATTCATAAAATGTAAATTCACAAGGAAGGTAGCTCATGAACTGTTGTCAATAATACACATTATAGGGGCTGGCGCCGCAGCTCACTAGGCTAATCCTCTACCTTGTGGCACAGGCACACTGGGTTCTCGTCCCGGTCGGGGCTCCGGATTCTGTCCTGGTTGCCCCTCTTCCAGGCCAGCTCTCTGCTGTGGCCAGGGAGTACAGTGGAGGATGGCCCAAGTACTTGGGCCCTGCACCCCATGGGAGACCAGGAGAAGTACCTGGCTCCTGGCTTCGGATCAGCGCGGTGCGCCGGCCGCAGCGTGCCGGCCGTGGCAGCCATTGGAGGGTGAACCAACGGCAAAGGAAGGCCTTTCTCTCTGTCTCCCTCTCTCTCACTGTCCACTCTGCCTGTCAAAAATAAAAAAATAAATAAACCTTTAAAAAAATAATGCACATTTTAGGGTTACACATACACAGGTATATAATGATTAAAATATACAGAAATTCACAGAATGCAATTCTTTTCTTTCTTTTTTTTTTTTAGATTTGTTTTATTTATTTAAAAGAGTTATAGAGAGAGGAAGAGACAGAGAGTGAGTTCTTCCATCCTCTGGTTTACTCCCCCAGATGGCTGCAATGGCCAGAGCTGAGCTGATCTGAAGCCAGGAGCCAGGAGCTTCCTCCGGGTCTCCCAAGTGGGTGCAGGAGTCCAAGGACTTGGGCCATCTTCCACTGCTTTCCCAGGCCATAGCAGAGAGCTGGATCAGAAGTGGAACAGCCGGAACTTGAACCGGCACCCATATGGGATGTCAGCACTACAGGCCAGGGCTTTAACCTGCTGCAACACCACACTGGCTCCCTCAGGAGGCAATTCTATGTAAAGTTTAGCGCAAGTCTCATCACTTGGCAGGTCACTACTAGGGTGAAGAGTGAAAAGGCATGGATTATCTCAACGGCATTTGTGTCAGTTAGATACGTTTATCTTTGTACGTATTTATTCCTGTATCTAATTGTCAGACTTTGATTCTCTAACAGATTTGTGTTCAAGTACCTATGGAATATTTACATACATTGATTACATAATAGACCAGTGACTTTCTGTGGACTGCTGTATCAGAATCATCTTAAAAAACAAACAGAGCAAAGCAAAATGAAGAAAAAATAACAAAAATCTCACAGCCAAAATCCTGTCTCCCAAGACCCAACCC